CTGTTGCCATAAAAATGTTAGAGTCCTGCATATATTGAAGAAATTAACTATGAAAATCTGCGTAATGTATGTATATTTCTCACATTGTCATAAATACCGGTACATGAGTCATCGAATTTTGAAAACGTAATCCTCCCAACGAATATGAGCATGTGGAAGACCAAATTTGAATTTGAAAATTGTTTATGATCGATTCCATTTTTTAAAAAAGTCCCTTTGGAGTAATTAAAATCTGAAACATTTCAGATTTTTTTTTTTTTTTAATAAGAGTAATTTTTACCTTCGGCGTTTTATCGTCTGCTACTTTACTTCGTAAATCGAAGTCTAAAAAACAATTTTCGTTTGATGTTATTTGAATGTTATGAACTGCACAATTTATTTCTAAACAACTGATGTTTGAAGTGGCTGAAAGCGCGGCTTACATATCCATATTTTAAAGCACAGTATTTTTTATAGAGACTAAGATTTAGAAAATCATTTTTATAAAGTCAAATTAATCAATAATATCCAATCTCTAGAGACTGAATTAATGGAAGTTCAATGTTGTAAAATCTCTACTTAATCGCTGGATAAGTCAGCAGATTCCGTGGACAAGTAAGAATAATTATATAAACGACACCCAACATTCTGAATTCAATTAACACGAGGTACGATGTTTATAATGAATTCAAGAAGTTTTAAAACATAAAATCATTTTTTATCTTAAAATGTATTTTTGTGCGTACCGTATTTTCATTATTCTAATTTAAAATCTAATTTAGAATGAATTGTCAAGAACTGATTTCCTAATCATCAGTAATATATAAGTAATATTACGGTTATTAATAAATCCTTCTGATAAGTAATTGCAAATATTTCAAAAAACATTCTGTTGAATGCAAATATTTTAAATTATATAATCAGATTGCACGATATTGTTTATTTGCAATCAATTCTTAACGTCAGTTCTAGTAGAATTACAAATCAATTATATTTAATTAGGATTGGATCGGATTGAATTGGTTTAATTATGGCAAAGCACACGAGGGTTATCTGCCTAAAGAGAGTGATGCCTTCGTGGAGGACTTTCTAAGGGAAACTGGCTCGTATAACGTTACAATCGAAAACCACGAAAACCCCATGAAACCAGCCCTTCGCGGGATTCGAACCTCGAACCGAACTACCAGTGATCAGCGTCTTTACCGCTCGCCGTTTGTGGGCCTTTGTGAAAGGAAGGCGAAACTTTATTAAAATGATTGTCAGAAATACAAAAATGTTTCGAAAAGTTGGATACTTTTTAATATACTTCGAATGCTTAAAGAAAAAGAGAAGAAAAATAAATTTTTCGTAAAATTTAGTTTTTTTTTTTAATTTAATTTTCAATGTTATGATATTAATTCTGCGATTCAAAAATAAAATATTTGACTAAAGTATGAATAACATTTTAGAAACCAAATGTAGGAAAATTGTGTAACAGCAATGGGCACAATGATAAAACTGTTTAAAGCAGTTTATGCAAGTTCCTAAGTTAAATGTCGGTTATACATCTCTCTATTTATATATATCTTTTCTAACGGAACATTGAAAGGCGTGAAACTGTTGCTTTACGTATTTTCTCTTTTAATATATGCAGTTTTCAAATGCATCGTAGTCTGGGTTACAAAGTATTCTTCCGAATGAAACGCAATTCAAATAAATAAAATCAAAGTTTGGAAAATTATATTAAAAATGCTCAGTTCAAAGGAATAAATAAAAATTTTAAAACAATTATCTGAAGAGATAATGCAATACAAACAATTAAATAAAAGTATAAAATTTAAAAATTACCTAAAATAATAACTATGACAAAAAATATATATAAAGAAAACTATTTGAAAAAATAAACGCTGCACCTTTATTTACGCAGTTCGAATAGGTAAATAGAAATTTTTAAAACAGTTATTCGAAGAAAAACATGCAACTTAAACAATTAAAATAAATTCGAAAAAGAAAAAATACTTAAAATAATAAGTTATAATTAAGAATATAATATAAAGAATATTATTTGGAAAAAAGGAACGATGGTGACTTTTTTTCATCTCACGGGAAAGGAAACTAGTTTGCCATATATTAAGAAGTTCGCCAAGTGAAGTATTTGGCGCAAACTGCAAAAAAGTGCCAACATAAATTTGTGAATTTCTCCGTAAATTTCGCTCCAAATTTTACAAAATTTCATATTTAGGCGTAATTTGAGTCGTAGAATCGAAATATGCAAAAAAATTGGTATGTTATTTCAGAAAAAGTCCGATTTTGTGTCAAAATACCTATGTTAGAATAGTGCTATATATAAATCTAATATATATCCTATTACGCAATTTGAATATTACGCAATTTGAAGAACGCAATTTGAATTTTGTCAATCGGCCCAGTAGATCGGGAGATATAGGACTGTCCCTTTTTTTTTTTTTTTTTTGAGCAGTGTACATTAGTTTTTTAAAAGAAATGACGTAGGCATTTGAGAAGCGAAGCAGCGGGGATATACTATTAGTAGCGAAGCTAGCAAAGAAGTGACGTAATTAACTTGACAGCGGTGTTTATATAGAAGTAGTTGCAATCTTAGAGACAAGCTGTAATTGGCTAACATTAATTTTAGTTACCCTTTTCAAGTAACGGACTATAATAAGGAAGAATCTCGAATTTGGGAGAACAGATGAATTCACGCGGAGAGCACCAAATCTAAAACAGGGAATTTTGAGGTCGCGAATTATTTTTAATGCAGCCACCGTATTTTGCTATATCTTACATTTTCCCCCCTGTAAGGATTATGTTAATTTTATTAACAGTTAAATTTTCAAGTTCCTTCTCTGTCGATTCTTAACTTCAATTTACCACTCCCGGCCAGAACGTAGTTTTAGTATCACGTCTGAATACATAATGAGGAAGAGCGGTATTTAACCGCGAAGTTCTTCGGTCTTAGAGAGAGAAATATCAGGTTTCTGGCAGCAAGCGTCCGCATTTTTAAGCTACTCTCTCGTAAGGTATTATTACGCTCGGCCGTACCTACGCTAGGCCCTTGATAGCTTCGCAGTCTATTAACGTTAAGAGGCCAACTCGGTTAGAATTTTGATGGCTTGGGCTATATCTCTTTAGTTTCGATTAGTTTAGTATATTTCTTAGTCTCCTAAGTTCAAAGCCCAAGTGTCGGCTTTATTGTACACTCCAAGACGGAGGTTTGGTAAACTTTAGTTGGAATAATAAAGAGTTATTTTACCCATCTATCTTGTTGTTTCCTGTCACACGAACTCAAGCGATTATTCGCTTATAAGTTATTAAGATTCTTTACGTTCAACTGGAACTTAGCATTTACAAAGTGAGGAATTCTACACCCCTTCAAAAGAAAGATAGGGAGAGCATGGCGGAAGAAAAAGGATTAAAGCAGCAAAATATGAGATATTTTGAAAATACAAAATATAAAATTACCTTTTGAAAAATTAAAAAATTATAAGTGGTAAAATTTTGATAATATTCTTAAACAATTCAATAATAATCTTAAACATTTAAAACAGTCCTATTAAGATTCGAGTTCAATCTGTAAAACTTTCTTGCTTCTGGAACATTCACATCTCAATTTTCATACTTCAGGGAAGGATTTCGAAAACTTTTTGCACACAGTATCAAAATTATAAAAATTTTTATACCCATTCATTATTACAAATCATAAATCTTATAATTTTACACCATACTAATTTTCAATTTTATAAGCAATATTTTATAATTTATAATATCGTTATTGAAATTATGGTTTTTATTTTTAATACTATAGATATACCACTCTGTTACTCGGCTCCGTGAGCTCAGTTTTTTTTTATTCTTTATATGTTGGCAAATTGTGCATTTTCTGCTTTGAAAGTGATTGAATTATTATTGTTGTTCTTATCTTCCGGTTAAGGTTTTTATGCCTTTAGGTAATCCGCATGCAATATTTGTAGAATTATCAACAATTTAAAAGTTGTTTAAGTGCGGCTAAACCTAATTTTCTTTTTACCATAGCAGCTATATTTGTTTACATTTAAAATTTAACAGAACAGTGAAATAATTCTTTCTGTACCTTCAGTGCCTTTTTGGCCGAGTGGGACCAAAAGGAAACTTTTAGTTTTGTGCACTGAAAAATCGGTGTTCTTGCCCGCTGGCCGGATAGCTTGTTTTTGCGTAGAAGCTGTAATTTTTATTGTAAAAGTTCTTTTTTTTAATTGTTTTAACTGTATTTGGTGTTTTACGTTTTCCTATATCTTTCCATTTTTAGTGAAAATATTTTGGGTTTTTATGTATTTTTGCCTTGCCGCGAAGTTAGAACTGAATTAATTGAATGAGAAATCTATTTGTAATGAAATTCGAAGAAATAAGTTTAACAGAAATGCAGGAAAAATGCGTATAATTTAATATTCCGTTATATGGTGTACACATCAGCTTTTTATAATTAATAAATAAAAATTTTTCAAGTTCTTATATAATAAACATTTACATGTCGAATAGCAAGGAGTTTAATATATTTTTTTCTGTTACGCTTTCTGTTTAGTATCATACTCAAACAAAATCTTGCATATTTAAGCAAATATAGGTTATATCTAGTGAAAACATCATCACTGTGAGGCACTTTGGTGATTGGAAAAAAAATAAGAGGAAAGCTAAATATTGACCACCGGTAGTCATCAGAAAGATTAAAATGGAAGAAATCGCTTTTAAGCATAGATATATATCCACTCTGTACTCGGCTCCGTGAGCTCAGTTTTTTTTTATTCTTATATGTTGGCAAATTGTGCATTTTCTACTTTGAACGTGATTGAATTATTATTGTTGTTCTTATCTTCCGGGTAAGGTTTTTATGCCTTTAGGTAATCCGCATGCAATATTTGTAGAATTATCAACAATTTAAAAGTTGTTTTTTTCAGCAGGGTTTGTAAAAATCACAGGCATAACTAAAAAGGTATTTTTTTGCCCGTCGAATAAGTGGAGAGTTTGCAAACAGAAGAAATTTTACTCACCAATAGTGACCGCATGCCACAGATTATCGTTCAACGTTGTTCTGGTATTCGACCTGACCTTTCGAGGACCGTCACCCAGATTGAATATATAATGCAGATGACCATCTACCAATTCGATGGCAATGAAATCTTGACCTTTGCCGCCATTAAACAGAATTAATCCGTTGGGTTCCAACGTTTTGAACTGGAAATACAAATTCATAGAAGAATATGCCTTCAGCTGTGACAGACCAATGAAGGTGAATTTTGATTTGAAGGTCACTGGATGGTGCACGATTTCATCCTTCTTGCCAAATTTTGCAGTAACCTAAAAATTCGGGAAGAAACGTAATCTATGATAAGTATTTTGAATTACTTAGAACAAGAATAACTTACGCTATCATGACGTGTCTAAAATGAACAAAAAGGTTGATAGACGTTTATGAGATTGGGGAATATGAAGTTCTATCTCTTGTTGCCTATACATTCTGAAAACTTGAACAAATACTAATTAGATTAATTAATACTAATTAGATAATAATAAAAGTTAGCAGAACAGTAATTTTCAATGAATGTGTCCTGAAATCCCATCTTACGTGCTGCGAAAGTTTCAAATTAAATATATATTTTAAAATTTTGCTTTCAGTTCCAAAGTTATCACATTTCCTACAGTAAAAATGCTAAAATTTAACGAATAAAAAATAATTAATATAACTTAACAATGAGTTGTGTGTTGGTCTGTCAACTATAAAATTACATCTCTACATACCATGTAGAGATATTAGGTTATTACGAAGCAGGAGACGTAAAAAATGAGCCGACACTCGAACCACGGACCTCTCGAATACGCGTCGAGTGTGCTGACCATTACACCACGAAGGCATGCTAAGATGGCGGGAGAAATACCTTATGACCATAATAATAGTAATTAAAATTCGTCATTTCCATGTCTCCCACACACCAATCAGCTGAAAAACTGGTTATCAGCAGATTCGCAGTGTGATTTGTCACATTCACATCTGATTCATAGTTCAAATATATAAAACAATGCCCAGAAGAAGAGCAAAGTTTCGTTTCCCCAATACCGCACAGACACTATACATTTACAAACATTCGTGCTTTCTCCGTAATTCGAACCCGTGTCCTTCGGTGCGACATCAGAGCCATTAACCACAGGGTGGCATAATAATTTCTGAAAAATGAAAGCTTTATATAATACAAAATATTAATCAGTAAATTACGAAAATGAAGTTGATAACTTAAATGAATTTCTCTGTGAGCAAATGCATAGTAAATTACGCTGGTGTGCAAAAATTAAGGACGAGACGGTTTTTTCAATATAACTTTGTACAAAAGCTTTCCAAATCAACACATTTAATACCGTAAGATCCCCAATACGTAAGGACATGAGTAATGTAAGCAACACTTACTAAAAGAGAAATCAGAGGGATAAAAAGAAGCTTTATTGAAAAAGTAGCATGGAGCGCAATGCGATTGAAGGCCGAAACATCCATGTGATGGGTGTCCAGCAAGAAACATCCGGTCTTTAATAGGGGATATGATCTTCCCTGACTGCTAGCCAGGTTTCACAGCGTCTGCCCATGCTGAGAATGAGGGTGTCAATGAGTTATTGAGGCATTGCTGCCCATTCGTCTTGCAGCGCCAATCGAAGCTCTGGAATCGTTACTGGTGGTAAGGTACGAGCTGCCAAGCGTCTGCCTAGAAAATCCCATACATGCTCGATGATCCGGAGATCGTGCCGGTCAATCCATACGTTCAATATCCTCATTCTCTAAGAGCTGTTCGGCAGCTACTGTGCGATGACATGATGCATTGTCGTCCATGAAAAGGAACTGCGGACCCATAGCGCCTCTAAAAAGACGCACATATGGAAGAAGAATGTCGTTACAATAACGGGTCCCGTTGACTGGACCTGCGTCGAAGATGTGAAGGTCTTTACGACTACCAAGCATGATGCCTCCCCAAACGAGAACACCGCCACCTCCATACCTGTCTCTTTCAATGATGTTCGAGGGATGATTGCGGCTTCCCCGCTCTCTCCAGATGAGTATGCGATGAGAATCGCTACTCAGACTGAATCTGCTCTCCTCTGTAAAGAGTACTCGTCCCCATTCATTCCCTCCAATTCCGGTGTTCCCGGCACCACAGAGAACGCCTTCTCCGATGGGCAGGCGTTAGAGGTACACACCGTACAGGGCGTCGTCCAAACAGACCACCACCGTGCAGTCTTCTGGCCACGGTAAAACGCGATATCGGTCGTCCAGTCGCCTGTGTCGTGTGTCTAGCGATTTCTCCCGCTGTCTGCCGCCTGTTTCTTCTGACCTGTAAGGCAATATACCGGTCATCTGCGTGTGTGGTTCTTCGTGGTTGACCACTACTAAACCCCCGGATAGCTGTTCCTGTAGTTTGAAATTGTCTCCAAAGTCGTGAAACGATGCTATGACAATTCCGAACTCTGCAGCCACACTTGTCACACTGCGGCCTTCCTCCAACTTCCCAATGATTCGACCTCGGGTAAAAGCATCCAGATGTCGTCTAACAGATTGATTATTCGCCATTTCTCGCTGAGGCAGCTACTCGGTGTGATTTTAACTGCTATACGGCGTGCAATCTCTTTGCCAGAAATACTGATTTTATTAATAGAAGGATAAATAACGAAAAAGGAACACTCTGCACAAAAGAAAAATATCCAAGATAATACTTGAATTTATATATTGGTGCGTTTTGAAATTTGGCATATTTGTTATAAGCGACGAGAACGCCAAATTTTATTTACGCATTTTGTTAAAGTTCTTTCAAAGAATGAACGGTTCACTTTTTTTCCCGCTCGTGCACAGTGAAAGCGAAAGGAAAGTAGGTTACCACAAATTAAGAATTCCGCCAAATGAATTATGATTGGCGCAAAATGAAAAAAAAGTTCGCTAAATAAATTTCTAAATTTCTCACCAAATTTTATAAAATTTAATATTTACGGATGATTTGAGTCATAGAATCTAAATATGGAAAAATTTGGAATTTTTTTCCATATCTAGAAAAAGTTCGATTTTGTGTCATTTCCGAAAAAGTCCGATTTTGTGTCAGAATACTCATGTTAGAACAGAGACATATACTAATATAATATATATCCTGAGTCACACTTTCGAGTCATGAAAAACGCAAATTTCGTCGATCAGCCCAGTAGAACGGTAAATATAGAACTGTCATCCCCCTTTTTTTTGTGCAGAGTGCGTTTTGAAATGCTGCGATCTCACTCATTTCTATTTCATTTGAATTCACTAGAATCAGAAAAACTTCTACGATACTATGATGATTTAACTCAAGTAAATTGCTATGGCTTAATTTCAGCTTCATTGAATATCAGCATATATTAAGACAACGGAGACTACAGTAAGACCCCGCTTAACGCGGGGGATACGTTCCATCAAAGTAGAGCGTAATGCGAAACAGGCTAAACGAGGCTATCTTTACATGTAAATATTGGGGTTAGGGGAAGATGGCTAGGAAATTGGTTAGGTATTAAATTTAAAAAGTATGTTTTTTTAATAAAAATAAAACCAAACATTTATTTCTTAAAGCCCAAATTAATACCACATTATTATTTCTTGCAAAAATAAAAACAAAATATAAATAACAAAACGAATATTCTTAAAAAAAAAAAGAAATAAAATTCTAAGTCAGTCATATTTAGTTAGCCTTCCGCGTTTTCAGTGTTCTGCCTTTTTGTGACAAAAGCATCTAATGTTGTTTGCCTTTTTCATTTGCGTTGTTTTCTTAAAAGTTCTTCATAAACGGATAGAGCATCTCTAACACCACGCCTTACTTTTGAGCTCCTGTCAAAATTCGGATCATTTTCAATGAATTGATCCATTATTTCAGTTATGGTAGACAAACTCCTTTTTATAAACGCCATCGAAAGTTCTTTTTGCTCTTCTTCTGAATCACTGCTGTCAACATTTTTTTTTCTTCTTGTTCAGTTAATTCCTTGAGCTCATCATTAGAAAGACTAGCCGCTGCTTCTTGAATTATTTCTTCGACATCTTCCACATTTACCCCTTCAAAATATGTCTGTACAATACCGCACCAAACAAGAAATACAAGTACACTCTTTCGGATATGTATTTGAAACCTATTGCTGCATAATATTTCGTGGAATCCCCGTATGCTGCGAACGATTTCGTGGAATCCCCGGGTTGAAATAAAAGAGCGCTAAACCGAAACAGCGTTAAGCGGGTCTTACTGTACTATAAAGGCATAATAAAGCTGTAAAAGAAGGAAATATTATGGTTGTGAAGAAGGCATCATTATGTTCACAAAAAAGGCAATATTAAAACAGCAAGAATAATGATGGTATGCTTTCATAGTTTTCTAAAAGATCCGACATACAGTAAGGAACAACCAAATACAATAAATTCCAAATACAGAATGGAGAATCAAATTTTCTTACCTTAAAATTTGTCATTTGACCACTCCTTGCCATGTCAAAGTAATGTTGTCCGTTGAATATGAAGTGTTGCATGTGTCCTACGAAATTCGGGACATCTTTATTTGATGTAGTCGATGTGAAGGACCCGGGAGATCGGTCGTTTTCCATAGCCCCTATGTGTAGCGTTTGGAAATCGAGATTGATATTTTGACCACTGAGCTCTAGGGTAAAAATATGTTAAAAATTAGAATATTGTAATCTGCTTGCAGCAGATTTAGATTTCCACACAAGAAAAGTCATTTCAAATAGATTATGCAGATACTGGTATAACTTATCTCTCCCGGTGAGGTTAAAGTAATTTTCCACAACCGAATATAATTACAAAGGAAATAAATTACGGAGGTCATGCAGCTTACAACCCCTTTCAAAAATATTGCATCACTATATATCGCTTAAATGATTTTTCCTACACTTGTAGTTCCAATTAAAAAATGAATAAAATAAATGATTATTTTAGTCACTTGCAAAATTTTAGTTAAACATATACGAAATTGAAAATTTTGTACCAGCTTTTTGTGACAAAGTGAACAATGAGTAAGTTTTTCTTTAGGTAGCTAAAGGTAGTTTAGAAGGAAAGAGAACTAACTGTGTTTAAGATTTAATTTGCCTTTAATAGGTCTCAAATATACTATATGATTCGACCACTTTCCGTCAAAGAAAGAGCAACCATTTTAGGGATCATATAAAATTCAATTAAAAGAAATTAAATTTTCGCTTTTGAAACTTGTAGAAATAGTAAATGGAAATCAGTACTCCTAAATGAATGCTAAAATATTGTTTAATATTTTTTTTCCAAAGATAAATCTACCTCTTAAGAATTTGCATTTAAAATTGTAGCAAGCGCAGTTGCATTGAGCAATATTTTAACACGCTATCCAAAATTTTATTAATGATGAAAATTTAATTCTATTTATCCAATATATTTAAGAACTGTACACGTGCAGGAACTGATAAAACTGCTTTTTTATTTCAGCTTAAATTGATAATTTTATATATTAACCCAGGAATCAGAAAACTTTATTAATGAAACACTCATTGCCATACAAATTTGAGCGCTGAAAAAGAGTCGTCGGAGTCGTACGCAATTTTATACATGTGAGTGCAAAGTTGATATAACTAAGTGATTACAAAATACGCAAGGATAATTTATAACAGAAAAAACTACAAATGAAGTGAGACTCTAGTACGTTTTGGGCCATCTGAAGCGTTAATACACAATGCGATACGGGCAGGCATCGAGGTACACATGTCCCGTATGCTGTCCTGCGACATTTCATGCGACATTTGCTCTAGTTGTAAGCGCACCTGTGGTTCGACGAAACTTCTAGAGTGCCTAGCTGCCATGTGAAATGATCCAGATATTCTTGATTAGTGAAAAATGTGGGGATCGTACACATAAGGAAAGGTTAGTAACACGGCGGAGGCATTCCTGTCACATTCTTGCCGTGTGCAGCTGAGCGCTTTCCTATTGAAAAATGCCTCGTGGAAACACTGCCATGAGTGGTAACTCATCTGACTGAAGGATGTCGCAAACGTACTGCTAGGTTGTCATGTGCTATGGATCAATATTAGAGACGACTAGGAAGTATGCGATGGCATTTCCTGCCATCCCACTAGTTGTGGAATCTGTGTTCTGGTGTAAATATAATCCAGGGATGAGGTCTTCAATAAGGTACATCCACACATATAAACGACTCCCATCACTGCCCAAACAACATATCGATTTATTGAAAAAGAAAGTTCGATTCGTCTGTGTCGGTTCAATTTTATCGGTTCAATTTTGTCGGTTCAATTTTGTCGGTTCAATCTTGTCAAGCGCGACACCACACGAAACGGAGGCCAAGGAGACATGTAGGTGTCATTAGCAGCCCACATAATGGACGCCGTGATACCAAATACTTCGTGACGGTGCAGGAAGACACAGGAGTCCGTACTGATGGTGCAACCCGTGTTTGGAGAAGTATGCATTTGGCGATCGTGTGTGTGTGTATCGGATGATGTGTCTTTTTTCTCAGCTAGTCGTCTGCCTAGAGTGTAATAAACCTGGCAGTCATGTATACTCTTTCTGGTCCAATGGTTTCAACATCTTCTTACAGTAAAGTCAGAACTTAAGTGCCGGGCTACTGCTGAGCTGACTAGCTGGCTTTTATCATTTCGATAATTCTTTCCCTTTCAAAATCCGGGAGCTGATTATATTGTTTTCGATGACGCTGTAATGACACTGCTAGTTGCAAACGTCCCTTTGGAAGGGAATAAGTTCAAAATTAAGATTTGAAATATTGTTACTCGTAAATTTCCCACCACTTACTGGTATTTATAGATTTCAGGACTTTTTTAATCAGTGATCACATATGCTCAGCTGCCTCTCTGGGATCATTGAGTAATCTAAAGCTGGCTGGGTATGTTAGGGTTAATCATGTTAGGGTAGCAGAGAATGACACATTTCATTATAAACTGCAACCACACATTCATGAAATTTTATCGACGTTCTTATACGAAGAACTCAGTTACCAAATGATGCTTGATATTTTCAGTTTTAAACGACTTCTTTGATTGGCAATATCTAACAGCCTCTCAAAAATTAAATAACATCCACTATGTGTGTTTTTTCAATGCTTCTAAAGGGTGGTGATAACTGTTCCATTATGTTTTGTCTTCTTGCCAAATGTTACATAATATTTAGGCTTGAACTTACTATTTCATGCATACCGAAACGAGCACAATGCTACCCCGAAAACCGCTTTCAGATCTTCCCTGAAGCTACTATAGATATGTAAAGAATAATATTTCACTGGACCAAATCCCCCACATCTAACGAATTAACTAAATGATTTAAGTGGAGTTGTAGCTTCGTAAGAGAGCCATCATGCTGGTTTTTATGTCAAAAGTTAAATATTATTTTTTACTCAAGAAAACTAGCAAGCTGATAGTTTATTTTAAAATAATAATTCTGATTCGATTTCAGATTTTTTCCACAGCATATACCCTTTAAATCAGTCTAGTTTTAATTCTTTTTCGGCGAGTGTGGATTAAGAATAAAGGAAAATATTGTAAGGCACTTTTTTTCTTCTTGCTGCGTGTCTTCGTAGTGTAACTGGAAAGCCGTGCAACTAGCAGTCGGAATGTCCGGAGTTCAACTTTCGGAGAAGGTATTAAAAATCTTTTTCATATTTTCTGCTCTGATAAATGCTTAATAGCTCTTAAATAGAGCCAGAACTAAAAAATGTTGGATGATAATTTGTCGCCACCAGGATATAGTGATTGACTTCCCGCCTCTCCATTCACTGGTTAAGTGAGGGAGAATGTAAGGTAATTTCTCCCTTCTTATCGCATGTCTTCGTGGTACAATTAGAAGCACGTCCGGCTGGTATTCAGGCCTGGAGTTCGATCTCTGAGAGGGCATTGTACATTTCTCAGGTTTCATGCTCCTCAGGTTTAATGCTAATAGCTCTAATATTATTTTAGCAATATTTTTTAAAGTGCTACATTATTCTTCACTCAAATTAAGAGCTTTTTAACTTTATTATAAAGAACATTATATCTTCTTTTGATTTCAGTTTATTCCTATTAAAATAACTTGAAAATTAGATATAAACCTGGAGCCATATGAAAATGCTGGCCTTTAATTCGAAAGTAATTCAGAATGTTTCATCTCTCCGAAATTTCAAAAGATTCTAATGTATTACTAAATATAAAAAAACGTCCGCAGCAATACATAAAGAATCTCTTCAAATTTGGCTTCGTATGACCTTGGCACGTAATTATAGGTTTGCAGCTAGGTGGTAAATATAACGATAGGTGTTAGCATGAAACAAGAATGTAATTCACAAGCAATAATCATTCTCATTCTTTCTTTCTGCTCCCAGTTCCCTATATACGACTCGATTGTGAGTGTTTCACGACATATAAAGCACTTACAGAGAAGACAGTTTGTACTTAGTTGCAACAGGTTCAAGGTGACTGGATGGCATTTTCGATGTAAAATGAACAGGCTGGCTGTGACCATAATCTGCTATTCCACTAGAGAGCAAACACACGTATGATGCATTATAACGTCTCGGGCTCTTTGGAGATTTGATTTAAATCAAATAAAAGTTAAAAGAAGGCACCATTCATACTTAAGAAATATAGCCAGCAGTCATTGCTTAAATCAAAGATAAGGAATTTGACTTAACCAAGTGAGTTAGCTTAACGGCTATCTTACACGGCTACCAACTTGCGCTATCAACCGCTACCGGTTACAACGGCTACCAAGTTGGTTCTGACCTAAAAGTTGACCTGAGAAGCCTAATGGCGAGAATAAGGCCACACCGCAGAATACCATTCTCAGGAGAATCGAAATTAGCAATGTGGCCGTCAGCAAGCAGAGCATGCTCTAATCCGACCCTTTGCAACCTAAGACAGGAAAGCGAATTAACATAAAATAGCTGGTTAAAGAACTAAATGAGACCTTGCAACATACACAATTTGGATAAATTCTTTATGTATTTCATATGCGCTTTTTTGATGTATTTATTATAATTAGTACTTTATAAAATATCAAAATTTCAGAGGGTATTAGAAATCATTTTTAATATGATGTGGAAAAAATTTAACTTTTTATATCGTAGGAATATACTTTTCTAAGACATAAATATAGACATAAATTACATTACAGACATAAATTATTTATTGATGTTTGTAAATAATACGTTAATTAAAATATGCAAATACTTGTTAGTTTACTTCAAACACTTCTTCTTAGTCACAAACTGTTTCATCACTTCGGAAACGATATAGATGTCTAGTTGTGTCTCTTACCGAAACTATAACTGAGGGTTTTGAACATTTCTAAATCCTAACATGCTGCCCCTAATGACGGGAAGTTTAGCCAAGTGTTCAAAAATCTTACCAAAGGTAAAACTGGAATTTTTTTTTGAGATTAGACAAAAATTGAAATACAAGAACAGGAATTTAATATAATCCAAAATATATAAAAAAAGTATATATATATATATATATATATATATATATGTTACGGTGAAACACCGAAATTTGGAGAATGTTGACTTTCACCGGTGAATGTCAACATTCACCTAGTCTCTTGGTGTATATCCGAAACATTTTCGAAATACTCTTATTTCTGACTTAAACCGGTAAATGTCGACATTCTCCATGTACT